AGTATGATGCATCACGCGTTGGAGTTTGCATTGGATCACCTGTAGAAAAATAATACAAAGCATATGGGGGACCTGGGATTCGAACCCAGGTCCTGTACATGACTGCCAACTCCTCCTTCCACTAGGCCAACGCGCTTCATTTGTTAATGTAATAAGAATAAAACATAATATTGGAAAACATGTTAATATGCAAGAATTAAAAAGAAGCGCGCGAATATTTGAACGGGGGAACCAGATGGGGACACGTTGTCGTCCCTGTCCTCAGGTTTGCACAAAAATTACCTGCGGATTTAAATCCGCAGCTAAAAGTATAGGCCAATCCAAAAACTCGTCTCAGGCCATATAAATTCCATCCAAGACTATGGTTGTCTTTGTCTTCCTCTCCCGGTCACATCCATGGCCATTAATAGGTCCAATTTTACCTGTAACAAAAACCCCTAAAAAAACCTAGGAAGCCTTACAATGGCGTTTTGCACCATAGAGCAGATAAATACAATCAAATAATATGGAAAGCTTGGAAATTGTCTAGTGATTGCAAATATGCATTAGTTTCTTGTAATGATGCATAGAGTTTGAAACACGAAATCAAGTTCAGAGGGAGGTCGCGTATCACTTACAGCGTGTTTGAGAGTGTGTGACAGCTTGCTTCTGATTGCAGGAGGTTCAGTGATTGTCCAGCAAGCGATTAGTGTTGAGTTTTGCCTTTCAAAACGCCTCCAAGCTCGATTTCAGTTTTGCACTTTTTCCACCTGTTTTCAAGTTTGGTTCTTGATGATTCTGCAGCCTCTTCGTCTCAAATTCGTGCCTTTGCCTTGTATATGTAATATGGAGTGTATTAGGTTAACTTTTGTGGACTGAATCCTTGCACATAAATGCTTTGAGATTGGATTTGATCCTCCATTGAAAACTTGCTTAATTTGCCAAAAATCCAATCTTTTTGCACATGGAATGATTGATACGAATTTGATCATGACATTGATGATGATTAGGTCCTGAAAGTAGAAAAAGATCTCACATAATCAAGTTTTGTGATTTTATTTGATTTAAATAGATTTAAAATGAAATAATTCAATAAAAAATCAAATAAAATAGAAAAATTGATAAATGGACACAAGGCTAAAGCTAGGTCACGTGTGGAATGTGGAAAGCCCAAATCAAGTGGAAAAGAATAGGCCTATTTGACAAAATTTGAAGTTTTGGGGATAGTTGACTTTTGGCAATTTTGCAAAAATGCCCAACTTCAATCAATGCATAACTTTTCAATTTTGAACTTTTGGAAGTGTTCTTGGACTTTTTAGAAAGCTTGAGATGTCCTATAACCAACCCTTTTGGTATCATATCATTTTGATATTTCATGCTCAAGTTATAAGCTTTGGAAAAAAAAGGTGTTTTTGTTGACTTTCAAAAATGACCTATAATGTCCAAATTTGAAACTTTTTGTGAGTGCATTTTTTGATATTGGGGTATGAAGATGGGTTGTAGTAAATTGCATCCTATTCAAAATGAGCTTTGGATTGGTCATTTCTCATAAAGTATGAGAAAGTTATGCTTGGTCAAAGTTGAGTTGACTTTTCCTGCAAAACCCTAATTTAGCAACTTTTGAGTCTTGATGAATTTTGAGCAATCCTTGATGAATCATGATCAACCCTTGAGAAAATGATGAAATATCCTTCAAAATGATAATGTTGACAAAAAATCTTGAGGTTTATCTGTCTATAGGTCACAGTTGACTTTTGCCCTAGCACAGTCGATTTTTGGACCCCTTGAGCAATTGACTGAGCAAACTTCCTCTGCAAGGCTTGAAATTTGACATGGATGACCTTAAGAACATATTAGGACATTTGGTAGCACTTGAGATCATTTGGACTCAAGGATCTTGAAGCAACACAAAACCCTAATTTGAGGTTGACTGTCTTAGGAGATAGCTTGACTGTCCAACTCTTGAGCAATCTTGAGCCACTTGGATATTTTTCTTGCCATGTCTTGAGAGATATGAGAGGGCAAATTTTGGGGTGCAACAACAAGTAAATGGAAAATACTTAAAGAGCTATAGGCCTGTGTTGTAAGAAATGGTAATAAATAAAAATTGAAACCAATTGCATAACAAAAAGGTCATGAAGAGGCCTAAAGTGTATATAAAAAATTACAAAAAAAAACATTAAAAAATTAAGTTCAAAAGACAAGCAAACTAAAATGGCACAGAGTCCTTGAGATTCACATAACGTTCTTAATCGACTGCCAAACGAGCGTTGGTTAATGAAATAGATGAGTCAAGTTCGGCCAATTCAACATCCAGTGCATCGACACGCTCTAGATGAGCGACCCCAACAAGAGCTTCATCATTCAATGCATTTTCAGCCGTGTTAAACCCAGTAGCTTGAAAAGTTTCTGCCTCATTAATCTAGCCCTCTAATCCTTCAATTTGTTTTTTCAGCACCTTAATCTGTTGTCGCCATTGGGAAATGTTGGTGGCCCTAGTAGTGAAGTCTGATTTTTCTTTATTAAGAGCTTTCTGCAATTTTTCACTAGTGACCATAGAAGAATTCACAAAGGCCAGTTCAACAGTGCACTCTTTCTCTTAGGAAGATATTTCTTTTGGAATTCGTTCTTTTGTGCCAGGTTGATCAAAAGCTGCTCAAGAAAGGTAGACGCATCAGCCAGAAATTTAACCACCAAAGGAGGAGTGACATGAACATTAACCTTCTTCAACAAATCCTTAAATTTGGCACCATCAGAAATGTGGCTCTTCAAATGGTTGATCAGGTCAACATGAAAAAGCATAGTTTTGATACGACCAAGAATTTCTTCTTGAGTCCCAAGGGAAAAAATGCTCCCTGATGCAGTAGAGGTACTAGAGCCACCATCAGTCGAACGGTTCTTAGCATTCATCATGAACTTCAAGTAATCAAAAGGGATGTTTCGCCTTAGAGTTGTAATTTGTTGGGGTGACATGGTGGTAGCTGTAGCAATCACGTTAGGAGGAGTCGAGATGGTACCAAAGGCGACAGTTGTTTGAGGAGGCACTTTAATTGCTTGGAAGAGATTATGGGTAGATTTTTAGGTGATGTTAGCAATATCAGTTTGTTCGGAACCCTCTAGACCATCATCTCCTGCATCATCCTCTAAGCCTTCATCTTCTGCTTCACCTTTCACTCCTTTACTAATGAGAGAATACTCAGAAGCATCCTGATTGACAGGAGAATGAAGGTCACTCCCAAAAGATTCAGTATCAGATAAGATGACAGTTGAAGGTTTTTTGGTCTTAGAAGATTTCAAGATAATTTATGTGGGACACCTTGTTTGTTTAGTTGCCAGTCGCTGAAATAATAAAGGGAAACGAGAGAAAAATTATAAAAGGGACACAATTCCTAAGATTGGGGTGACATGGTGGTAGTTGTGGGAATCACGTTAAGAGGAGTCGAGATGGTACCAAAGGCGACTGTTGTTTGAGGAGGCACTTTAGTTGCTTGGAAGAGATTATGGGTAGCTTTTTGGGTGATGTTGGCAGCATCATTTTGTTCAGAACCCTCTAGGCCGTCATCTCCTGCATCATCCTGTAAGCCTTCATCTTCTGCTTCACCTTCCACTCCTTCACTAATGGGAGAATACTCAAAAACATCATGATTGACAGGAGAATGAAGGTCATTCCCAAAAGATTCAGTATCAGATAAGATGACAGCTGGAAGTTTTTTTGGTCTTAGAAGATTTCAAGATGATTTTTGTGGGACGCCTTATTTGTTTAGTTGCCATTCGTTGAAATAATAAAGGGAAACGAGAGCAAAATTATAAAAAGGGACACCATTCCTAAAATAAAAGTCTTTTTGGAAAAAGGGACACAATTACTTGTCCTAATGGTTTTTCCTTAAGACTTTTTAATAAATTTTGACATAAATAATATATTTATGAATATTATAGAAATGTATGGGGATGTCGGGTCAAACTTGGAGTCATATGATACATTCTAAGAAAAAGATATTACTCCGGTCTGATTTATAAACAAAAAAGAAATTTTTTACGATTATTAAGAATGATAGTTAAGTGCATTTAATTTTCTTGATTTCATATAAGAGAGATAACATAAACACTACTCCCTTTGTCTCATATTATTTGTCGCAATTGACTATTTCACACATATTAAGAAATATTAATAAATAAAAAAGAGAATAGTGACTTTACCAAATTATTCTTATTAATCATTGGTGTATTCAGATTAGCATTAATATTAAATGGGAAAACAATAAATTAAAAGTATTTATTAGATGGTACAATTAAAAGATTAAATATAAAAATTATATTGATAATCTAAAGTGATAAGTATTTTAAAATAATTTTTTTAAATACAACACTTATTTTAGGACGAAGAGAATAGTATACCTTCAATTTAATTGTCATACACTAACTATATTAAATAATTAATACATAGATAATTTTGAAATAAAGATAGTAAAATAGACATACAAAAAAATTTAGAAGTATAAATAAGGTTGGAGGGAGTATGAATATAGCTTTATGAGTTTGTTAGTTGTGATATGGAACCTTTGCCTCTTTTTACTATTAACACCTCTAGAGTTAACTAACACTACAATTGGCTTAATTAATAAGTAAATAATTTTCGAACATTTAATTAATTTTATAATTTAAAGAAATCATGAACAGAAATCGTTCTGTATAAATGCAACTTGTGTGTTGGGATGTCAGCCTTAGAAGGTGGTAGTGCTAAATTTGTGTGGAGGGATGACAAAAAGTTGTAGATTTACGAAAGAGGATTTTATAATGTGAATTTGGTGTTTTTATATATTACTTAAATCTTATAAATGAATTAATCTAGAGTTTTAAGATTGACATCCCAACACAGGACGTGGCTTACACGTCCATTACTCATGCGTCTAAGATTCATTCAACAAGTAGCCTTCCTCTTTCAAACACACTTCACTTATCACCTAATTCTGTCTTTCTCTCTCTAATAAAAAACGAGTTGGATTCTCCGAACAACCCAGAAGATGAATAGCCTATTCGATGAACTCTTGCAAGAAATCTTCCTAAAACTTCCATCTTCTTCTTCCTCTTCAATCTCCCTTGTTTCAAAGCGATGGCTTCATCTCTACCGTTCATCTAAACTCACCCTTTCCCTTCGTTTCAACAACCCTCATCATCACTTCTTCTCTTTCATCTCTCTCCTCAATCAACACTCTTCTCTCTCTTCTCTCTCTCTCATCCTTCTTTCATCTTCCACCACCCCAACAACATCCCTTCTTCTCTCTGCTATTTCCTCTTGTTCTTCTTCCTCCAAGCTTGTCTCTCTCAATTTCTTGCCTGCTCCTGTTCCTCTCTCTTCCATCGTTACTCTCTCAAACTCTTGTACCCGATTGACCTCCCTTTCTATTACCCTTTCAACACCTATTTTCCTCAATTGGGTTTTGTGTTTTCCTTGTTTAAAACAATTGTCAATTGTTTTCTCTTATGACGACCATCATGATGATGCCTGTTGTTCTGAGGAGGTGAATGCCCTTTTTGATAAGGAACTGAGTTTGGAAACTATTTGTTTTGAGGGTATCCGTAGAGATGATCTGGGAATTGGTTGGCTGTGGAAGAGATGCAAAAACCTTAGGAATTTGAAGCTTCTACGTTGCCAAGGAATTGGTAGTTCTTACTCATCTTTTGTTCACTGTTTGCAGGGTATTCAACAAATTGAGCTTAAAACTTGTAGGACTGTGGTTGATGGAATTCTCTTGGAAATTGCACAACATTGTAGCTCATTGGAATCACTTTTGGTTCATGATGGTGGTAGCAGACAGGCTTTGCTACATTTCTTTTCTAGTTGCACCTCTAATTATTTGCATAAACTTGATTTTCGTTTGCCTATGGACCTTCAAAACAATCATTTTTTTGTTATGGCTATCAATTTCAGAGGCCTTTCGTGTCTTAGGCTTCAAAGTTGTTGTCTTGTAACTGGGGAAGGGCTTAAGGCTCTTGGTATGGCACTGAGTAATGGTCTTGAAGAACTGGCACTCATAAACTGTCATGTGGTTGAAAGGGAGAAAGGATTGCTTGCAACTTTGGGTCAACATTTTAGGCAATTGAGGAAACTAGATTTGTCTCATAATGAAATGTTGTTTGATAAGGATTTCATTTCGATGTTGGTTTCTTGCATTCATTTGATTGATTTGAAGGTGAGAGGATGTAAAGGACTCACTACTCTGGCTATAGTTTCTATGCTTAGGAGCTGCAAGAGACTTCAAAATGTTGACATTATGCACTGTTTGGGGATACAGTCGGATGCTATTGAACTATTTGTCAAGAATTGTTCCAGTTTGAAAAGATTGGAGGTTGAGGGATGTAAGCTCTCTGATGCTGCACAAATCTGGGCATCGGATAAATTTATTGAAATTGTATAAAACAAATTTGTTGTATCATTTGTATTTGTGTTCCAAGTTCTAGTTATACTACAAACCTTTATACCATCGAGACTATGGTCGCTGCGAACTTGTATAAATCATTTAGGTTGCAGGCCTCATGTGTGTATTAATTATGAAATTTGAAATAAAGAGGTATACATTTCAATCTCATTGCTGTAATTTATTCTTGGATAATCAAGTTATTAAGTGCAGTCAAAATTCAATTAAGTTACTAGTTATTACTCGTACCTTATGGAGCAAAGACGCAACTAAAGAAGTAAATGAAGAGAAAAGAAATTTTACATACTATGAGTAGTTTAAAGGCCACTTTTTTGCCTACCAAAGATTTAGTCAAGTCAAATGAAAGAAAGAAATTACATTACACAACAACAATAATGTTTTCTTAAGAGAAGATTCCTTTGTGTGTGTGTGTGGAAGACTCGGGTTTCCACTTCTTCTTCTCTTATTTTGGACTATTTAATTTCTTTGGAGCACTCTCGCAAGCCTGTCTTTGTGTTGGACACGAGTTGGTATTTCTGTTTAATCACTTGTTGGGTAATATGAAAATGTACGAATGATTTGGTTTTCAAAGAAATTTCTTTACAAAACTTTGATGGGGGTATGATTGATAAAATTGCTTGTTTGGAATTGATTTTTTTCTACTTTCAAAGTTAGAAATCATTTATCTTGGACAGATTGGTGTGCGGATCCGAGAGAGGCTTTAGTTAATTTTTTTGTTTCTCTTGTTGGTTGGTTTCAGATTTTTTAGTACCCGTTATTTCTTTTTATATTTATATATTGTGCACCCCTTATGCCTTTTATTGATATCCATTTGCTTATAAAAAAAGTAGTTGAAAGATATATCCTTTGTTAATCAAAAGACTTAACCAAAAAAAAATTAAATAAAAAAGAAGAAAGTACATTACATACTTTAAGTTATTGAAAGACCCATTCCTTGATGAATAAAGATCTAGTAATTAGAGATCGAATGAAGACTAAAGAAATACATTATATAACATTAGTAGTTGAAAAGTGAATCTCTTGTTGATCAAAGATTTAATCATAAGAAATCAAATAAACGACTAAGAAGTACTTTACATAATATAGTTAGTTGAAAGATACGTTTCTTAATGATTAAAGATTTAGTCATTAAAAACCAAATTAAGAGAAATGAACTACATTATATAACATGAGTAGTTGAAAGATTCATCTCTTGTAAATCACATCCCAAAATAAAATAAAACAAATGAAAAGAAACGAAATATTACATATACTATTATTAGTTGAAAGGATCAATTCTTATCGATCAAAGACTAAACCATAAAGAAGCAAATCTAGAGAAAAAATATGCTTTATATACAATGAGTAGTTTAAAGATCACTTCTTAACTGGCCAAAGACCTAGTCATTAGAAAACAGTTAAAACAACAAAATATCATTACATAACATGAGTATTTGAAAGTTTCATCTCTTGTTAATCATTGACTTAACCCTAAAAATAAAATAAAGATAAAGAAAGTATATTATATTCTATAAGTAGTTGAAATGTATGATCTTTGTTGATCAAAGACTTAATCAAAAGAAACCAAATTAAGAGGTAAAAAAGTACGTTACATACTTTGAGTAGTTGAAATGTCTATTCATTGATAAAAGAGATATATTAATTATAGGGTTAATCACCATTTCCTCCCCTGTCATTTACGGCAAATCCCAAAAACAACCCTGTAAGAAAATAAATTATATCTTTGTCATTTGTAGATTCCCCTGTTTTACCCCCTCGTTGAATTTGGTCAACTGAATCAGTGACATGACACTTCATGTGACTTTTTTTTTATAATTTTTTTTTATTTTATTATTATGTGGATTATCCACTTAGATTTTTTTATTTAATTTTAAATTTTTTTACCACAATGCCACATGTTGCTTTTTTATTTGATAACAATTCATACTTTAAAAATATTCAAAATATAAAAATTGTTCTAGGTGGGATTCAAACCATGCACCATCACCATGCCAAACAAGTTACCTTCTACTAGGCTATTTCATTACTCGTGATATATCTCCAGCTGAATAATTTAATATGTTTAGTAATTTTTTTAATAATAAATTGAAAATAAATATATTTTAATATTTATTATTAATGTTAATTATATTTTAATTTTTTAATAATAATTAAAAATAAATATATTTTAATATTTATTAATAATGTTAATAAATATATTTAAATATTAAATAATAAATTGAATAATTTAATATGTTTAATAATTTTTTTAATAATAAACTAAAAATAAATATATTTTAATATTTATTAATAACGTTAATAAATATATTTAAATATTTATTTGATATTTTAAATATTAAATAATAAATTGAATAATTTAATATGTTTAATAATTTTTTTAATAATAAATTGAAAATAAATATATTTTAATATTTATTAATAATGGGAATTATATTTTAATTTTTTTAACAATAAAATTAAAATAAATATATTTTAATATTTACTAATAACGTTAATAAATATATTTAAATATTTATTTGATATTTAAAATATTAAATAATAAATTGAATAAGTTAATATGGTTAATAATTTTTTAATAATAAACTAAAAATAAATATATTTTAATATTTATTAATAACATTAATTATATTTTAATTTTTTTAATAATAAACTGAAAGTAAATATATTTTAATATTTATTAATAACGTTAATTATATTTTAATTTTTTTAATAATAAACTGAAAATAAATTTCTTTTAATATTTATTAATAACGTTAATTATATTTTAACTTTTTTAATAATAAAATGAAAATAAATATATTTTAATATTTATTAATAACATTAATAAATATATTTAAATATTAATTTGATATTTAATAACGTTAATTAATTTCTAGTTATTAAAATATGTTAATTTTCAATTAATTAATATATTTAAAATATATTTATTTCCAATTTATTAATTTATATTAATTAACAAACAAATAACCTGAAAGTAATTTGTAAATATATCTTTGAGATAAATCCTAGCGGAGCGACAATTTTGGGAAGATGGGCAAACGCGGACGACCGTCGCGAAAACAAGTGGACCAAACGCCTCCGGCGAGTGTGAGAGTCTTCTCGCCAGCTTCAACATCCCATGGAAAGGGCATCAATGCTTCACTAGATTCAACGACATCAAAAGGGGAAAAAGCTTCAGTAGATTCAGGTACGAATCTGAGTATGATACTTGAGGAAGAGAAAGAGGAACATGAAGAATCAAAAGCAACTCAAGCTTAGACCTGGGTTGATATCATAAGAGGTAATCACATTTCAAAAAATGGTCTGAACATCACATACACACCTCCTTCCATTGTTAATGGAGAAATAGAAGTTATCATTGAAGAACAGGACATCACATCAGAGATTAAATTCTAGGAGAATGCTCTGATCATGTATGTGATGGGCGGTTATTTGACAATGACAACAGTGAAGAAATTTATGATGAAGTCCTGGGATTTTGCAGCACTACCAGAGCTATTTTATAATGAGGAAGGATATTTTGTCATTAAGATGAAATCAAAAGAGGATAAGGAACTTGTGCTGAGGAAGGGCCCATATACCATTTTCAGACAACCTATGTTTCTTTTAGAATAGAGACCTTTATTCTCTCTTGACAAAGATGCGGTGCGAGTAATGCCTATTTGGGTCACTTTTCCCCAAATTCCATTGACATAATGGGGAGGGAAAAGCATTGCAAAAGTGGCTAGTGTTATTAGAAAGTCTGTTATGACAGATTAATGTACCTCTAAGAAACTAAAAATTACATATGCAAGAGTACTTATTGAGGTGGACATCACAAATGAATTAAAGGATCCTATCTACATTAGGGATCCACGAAGAAGTAGGATCCTACAAAAGGTTGAATATGAATGGAAACCAACCTTTTGCAAAAAATGTAACAAGGTGGGTCATAATTGTGAAAAATAGAATGCTTCTAAACCTGCTCAAAAGTGGATTGAGAAACCAACTGTAGCAGAAGAGAGAAGCAACAAAGACAAAGATGACAATAAGGGGAAACAGATAGATGATAGTACAGGGACCTTGGAAAAAAATGAAAACATGGCTGAAGAAGATTGGAGAATTGTGGCTCCCATTAAAGCTGGAAAAACTACTTTTCTTCCTTATAAAGATACAATTAGAAATGACAATGATGGTGTTGGATGTAGTATCAGTTTTAGAATCCTTGGAAAGGAGGATGACATAATAATGGATGCTACATGATTCACACATGGAATGTGAGGGGCCTCAATAAAAAGTAAGGCATATTGAGATTAAGGCCCATTTCAATAGTCTACGGCTTCCTTGTATAACTTTATTGGAAACTAAAGTCAAGAGTAATAATGTTGCAAAAATCAGACAAACTTTTGCCAAGACTGGTACTGGTTAGATAATTATGATAACCATCCTAATGGTAGGATTTGAGTGATGTGGAAACATAAGAAGGTAACTATCAATAGGTATAGTAGTGGGGATCAATGCCTACACTGTGAAATGATTGATACCAGAGGACACAAAATCTGGATAACTTTCATCTATGCACATAATCATATTGCAGACAAAAGAAGATTGTGGATAGAGATTCCGAACATAACTGGTAACATTCATGATCCATGGATTGTGATTGGAGATTTTAATAATGTCCTTGTTAGTGCAGATCGAATTGATGGGAACCCAGAACATGGCTCAGAGATTGAAGACCTAAATGCAATGATGACAAATGCAAACCTATTTGAACATGAGACTCGAGGTAACCACTTAACCTGGTCAAACAAACATGTTACAGGTCTAATCTACTCTCTCATAGATATGGCTATATGTAATCATGATTGGTTTGTAAAATTTCCTGATTGTGAAATTGATGTCCTGAATGCCCATATATCTGATCATAGTCCCCTTAGAGTTAAGATTTATGGTCAAGTGAATGAGGTCTATAAAAGCCAGAACAAGTTTAGATTTAT